TTATGCCTGATACATAAAGTTTTACTTTTTCATTGATGTATGATGAATGACCTACAGAACTTGTATTCAATAATTATCAATTTTTTAAATAACAATCAATCACTTTTAAGGGTTCAATGTCAAAGATTTAGGACCAGAAGAATGTAAACTCCATTCAGGTAACCAGTGCTATTGCTTTCTTTTTATCTATCATTATATTACTACTTGGGTATATAATAATTTCAAGGGCTTAATATCTAATTAAAATAATAACTTTGGTCAGAAAAATGAAGATCAATCAGTGGAATCAAACAATTACTAATTTTTACAATCGTGAGCCAATAATCAGCTGGGAGACATTAAACATATATTCCATCCTGTGTAAACCAAATGACACAACAGTAAAGGAACACAAATGTAAAATCATTTACAAAATATATTGTACGAATTGCGAGAAATATTACATGAGAAAAAGTGGGCATTCTCTTCACCTACATATAAATGGATAAGGATTAGCAATGAGGTGGAATAATTATACAATCACTGGTAACAATGTGTGCAGGTAACCATTGACATGAATTCGACCGGAAAAAGTCGAAGTTTTGGACTGCGGAAACTCCAAGAATACCTAAGAATTACTAGAAGCATAGCGTTCAGAATAATTGACAATCAATTTATGAACCTTTACGAAAGCGACCAATCAATCATAAGACCAAAGGGTTAAACAAAAAAAGACAGTCAACGTGAATTCAAAGGCAAATGAAGACGACAAAACGGACGAACCAAAAACTTTAACCCAAATCTAAATTTTGGCCGATTATAATAGAATAATAATATTTGTTCTAATTAAGTAAAAAAATGAACACTTAGTGATTAGTTGATATGAAATGATTACCAACAACAACAACAACGACGGAGAAACATTGAAAGAAAGAGTAAACAGTAAATGAATACAAACATCAACATAACAAGATAAATAAAGAAAGGAAACATCCCAAATATGCATCTGGTATAAAATATTGAGTAGAGAATATTGAACGATGATTCATTTATTTCATGTCCATAAGTTGTTGTTATTTTCTTTTTTTGGAAACAGGAGAGGACAATAGACATTATGTGATAGATAGTGAATGAGATAAGAGGCGGTTTACAATAATAACATTGATAATAACGATATTAATAATACTAGTACTAATAACCGCACTAGCTGAAATGTAATTCTTATATTAGAGTAAAAATGCTTGTAAACTATTCAATGAATACAAGGAAATAATATAAACAAAAGGTGTGGTTCTTTTTCTTATTTTTAAAAAAGAAACTAATTTATAGGACGTTTAATAGAGAAAACTTTCAAGAAGTTTATTGATTAAGAAAATAAAACAGTCTATGATAGGGATTTTTTGTTTTACATATATTTATGGACCTTTACTAATAATCTGCAGGTAATTCTACAAAGTAGATGAAACTGAACCATTAGAAGCCATTGAATTAGTTAATAATGATTAAGATTTCTTTCAGATAACTGAATGTACCCGGTTTAACCCCAGGTGAGGTCTTGGAGTACACACTACAGAGTCCCATGCTAAGATCAATTAGATATCCAGTGCTCACTAGTTTGCAGTAAGATTGATTTATGACTAACATAAACTACAAATTAAACACAGCTCCACAAAAATTTTTGGACCAAAACATATTTGTTTATAACGAATAAAACTGAAGGAATATGTATCGGTTACTAGTTAACTACTGACATAAATAAAGAATCCGTCATGCAGAAAATCAATAGTGAATTGAATAACTCAGTGTCAAGATCTAAGGGCTCCAACTGCCCTGGTACGGTCGAGAGTGGGTAGGGTGAACTCTCTCTCTCGAACTATTCTCAAATGGACACGTGCATACAACCACTGCCGGAAAAGTCCTACTCACTGTCTTCTCGTGGTGAGGGTTTTTTACGAAATTGAGAGGACGCAAAGCGAATGTCCGGCGCTTTAACCGGGTTGGTGGATACAGAGGATCCATCTAGGGGAGATGGAAAAAACTGATTCCAAACCAAATGGTGAACGTGGGTTCCAGGGTTCTAAGGAAACAAGTGGTGTATGAACCTGTTGCTGGTCACCGACCGCCATGGGACTGCATCTCCTTACGTGGCGCCACTGCCTTGTGGACTAGACCTCTAAACCAAAGGCTCGAGGAGTGGTTGCCCAAGAAAACCACATGAGTTTGAGTGTCCGGGCATACAAATCGAATAACGAAGTGTGGCGCATATACATTTGGTGTCTTCTTGTACTAATGTTTATGTATTTAAATAAATAAATAAAACAAAGCCTATCACTAATTGAAAGATTGAATGATTAAGATTTGAATATTTGAAGATATATCGGTTACACAAAAATTATTGTTAGATACGGCTAACGGAAAGTAACAACTAGTATGAAACCTATGTCACGGAATCCTCACAGTCTAACAAATAAATACTAAGAGCAAAATTTAAGATTTATTTTATTTATTTAAACACATAAATAGTGGTACAAGGAAGAACCAGATACATATGCGCCTCACAATTCTCATTCGATTTGTGTGTGGGCTGTGATACTACCCGGCTGCCCAAACCTAAGCAGATACTTTTCTTAGGGGGCCACACCCCGAGCCTTCGACCTAAAGGTCTGATCCACAAGGCAGTGGAGCATCGTGAACAGATGCAGTCCCATGGTAGCCGTTGTCCAATGACAGGTTCGTCCGCCATTCGTTCCATCAGGATACTGGAGCCCATGTGCACCATTGGTTTGGAATGAGGGTTTTCCAACTCCCCTAGGTGAACTTTCCGTATCCACCAACCCGGTTAAAGCGTCGCACATTCGATTTTCGTCCTCTCAATTTCGTAAACAACACCTATGGTACGAGAAGGCAGTGAGTAGGGCTTCCCTGGCAGAGGCTATATATTCGCGTGGCCATGTGAGAGCATTTGGAGAGGGAGAGCGGACTCTCCCCACTCTCGGCTGTATCAGGGCATTTGGGAGCAAAATGTAAGAAAAAATGACTAATTAGATAAACATCATATATAATTTCGATTCAGAATTGGAAGAGAACGGTTATGACGAATAATTAAAAAAAAGAGATTTTACTACTAGACTAGTTCCGTTATTAAAAAAGAAAATATCTCAGTAAGTTTTGTTTATGAACTGTAAAACAAATGTTATGAGTTGTAGAATATTTAAATCCGAGGAGGAAGAAAGGTGAGTTCTTTAGTAGTTATCTTTTGGTAAAGGTATAATGCACTGGCAACCTTGAAAGGCTAATCAGACAATCAGGAAACGCTGCACTTTTATATGACAATTAACAACAAAAATCAGTGGAATAACAGCTTCATTTAGATAATTAACCTTCACACGTCAAATTATTCTTTATAGTAAATGAAAAAGGCCAAGTTTACATAAATACGTACATATTAGGCGTAGCGCTAGTATTCTGAGGTAGGGTTATCACCTAATGGAGTTTTCGTCACAACTTGACATCGGTTGTGATGTAATTAGGTTAGGGTTAGGTATTAAGAGTATGGCTGAAGTTTTCAGTTGGGTTTATAGATTAGGTTTGAGGCTTTCGTCACCAACTGACATAAGTTATACAGCAATGCTTTGCTACCCTTTCGTTTAAAAATTTAAGAAACCTAGGATTGAGATTTAGAGGAGTTAAAAAGGGAGAATATTATCTAGCTTCACTAAACACTCTTGACTACGTATTGAATCACACTAAGCACTTTAACCTATAATCTTCCTTAAGAACAGGTATGCTTTGTCATTTAGTTAAAACACCATCTTAAATTCATATCTGGTTGGATAATAGATATTTTTATTGATCCCAAACATTTTAGGAATTAATTATTATCGATTTTTATTTGGTTAATAGTAAAAAGTTATCTATCACTATAATTTAAACATTGCACAGGAGACATGAGGAGTTAGTTTAATTCTGATTGCTTAGCTCAAGGCCATCAATACGTTATACTTTTACTCATCTTTCTATTCCTAGTAATATTCCAGACAATAAACATAAATATTTACGTGATGTGATTATAATGAAATCAGATGATGAGCAGAATATTTTGTAAAAATAACTACATCACCAAATCAGAAACGGAATGGGAATTAACAGCCGTGTAAAAAGCTATGCAGATACTTAAAAGATAAAGTGTATAGTTATGTATCAGTTTGATGTCTGATGCTTTCGACACCACTCAGTCTACAAGTATGGAACATCAATATAATAAGTTGTACAGTCTTTAGTTTCTTATTATCTTGTTTAGGTATAGAAATAATTTTAGATAAATCGCTTCATTTGCTTTTAAACAACCTAATGATACGGTGAAAAAATCTATGACAACAATGTAAAAGTAACACAACTTTATCTACATGAACATCTGTACAATGGACTTTGAGTTATACTTTTTATAAGAGGTTTAGTAATATTGCTTGACTACAATTGATTGACCAGTGGGTAGTGACCGATATCATCATATTTGTCTGATCCTTTAATGTTGACTAAATTACTAAGTAATGGTCACTATTGCTAATCAAGGAGTAATCTGAGCTTTTACACAACAGGAGTAAAGTTTCACACAGTACACAGAATCTGAACCGGCTTACAGAAGTTTCATTAAGTCAGATCGAAGTTAGCTTATACACTACCAGTCAAACTCTTTATCTAAAGACGTGATAATAGTAATGGTAAATATGCAACCTGTCAATCGTTAATATATTAATATGCATAAAATGTATTATATGATAATTAGTGCCAGGGTACTCTTCTTGATAACTCACATACCTCAGTCAATAAACCACTATTCATAAACACAACCTAATGGTAAAGAATATTGAGTGTGAGAACTTTATACAGTTACATTTGATAAATATCAATATTTCAACTGAATTGAAAAAAATCAGGATTACACATCAGAGGAGCATCATTTGATACGAAGTGTGCAAAGTACTAACGACGATATAATGTGAGTTGAAAAAAGCACTTACCCACCAAACGCAACAATTAATCGTTTAATTAAAGATTCTTCATCATCAGGAATTGATTTGTTATGAATAAAGAAGTGTTTATTCACAAATATATCGGGAAGACTGTTCATAAGTGATTCTTTAATAGCTTCTTCATCCTCATCTTCATCAGCGACCGACAACTGATTACGACTCGATGTCATGACTCTGGAGGAAATGAAAACAAAAACAAGACTGGGGGATTATTTTCTAAACATAGAAAAAAATATACTTATAGGAAAACAGTTCTAAACTCACACTCGATAAACGTTACCGTAAAATGTTCAGTGATGACTAAACGTTATTACCAAATTCATTTAGCAAAACTACATTTTATTGAGATCATCGAACAATCTGCGTAAGATAATTAAGAGAATCTTTGTGAGTGTTGAACAGATGTTACGTCTTAGTATGACACTCCTTATAAGTGCGCATCCACAACTCCAGTAGGAAGAATCGAAGATGAGAGTTTCGGTCTCGTTAACGAATGCTAAGCATCAAGACAACTGAGGCCCCATCCGATGGTATACAAGTATAATCTCAATCAAATCGCAATATTATGAAACCATCTTCCATCGTCTTTGGTGAGTACTTTACTCACACCCGACACCGTTGAGCTTTACTAGTGACAGCTTATAAATAGGACTCCGAGAATTTTCTTTTGAAATTGGTCATACATGAAAATTATCAATATGAAGTTGTACTGATTCATGAATTTACCAGGAATCAACAATCTCTACAACCTTCATACTGCTAAAACTGTATATCTTTTTAGGCAAGTGATTGAGAATTAGCGGAATAGATTGTGATCTGTAGTGATATAACACTGAATAACCTTAATGTTCAGTAAATTTGATCAATTGGCCATTACTTTATATAGGAAGAAGTAAAGTGGTTGTTTGAAACCTAATCACTAAAACAAACTGAATTACGGATTTCTGATATATATGAGAACTTATGAAGCATAATTTATTTGTACGATTTTATATGTACTGGCATTTAGGTTCATACAGATGACGAGTCCCCAATAGGACGAAACGCGCGTCCTGGACTCCACCGTTAGTCACCATCCATCTTTGTTTAAAAATATTTATATGACATTTTAACTCAAGATTCATCAAACCATATTTACTGGTTTGTCAACTTTTCATTATTCGATTGCACATTAGAACCGCGTTGCATTATCCACTTTAGTATAACCAGATAAATATTACCGCTAGCTCATTTACGGGAAATAGTAAGACTGAAAGACAAGGCAGTTACTTCTGAGTTACATACACAGAATCTAGTTTAAACTGAAATGTTGATGATGTGAGCCTCTGAGGTTTATTGCAAATACAATATTCATTTGTGCTTGAAAGGTAATCTAACGATTAAGTGCATAATTTGGAGAATAATTTTTATTGCGGACTTAAGTCAGTTGGTGGACTATTTTGAAAAGTGTTAGGCATTGGACTGCTTTGTTTAGTCTCACCTTGGATTTCCTCGATAGGGGAAAAAGACTGTCTAATTATCCCGTGATGTTCGATAGTTCTCAATGAAAACCAACTACAAAAATCTCAACAACATGATGTAATTTTAATTATTTGTGTGTGTGACAAAGAAAAATCGATTAAACGTTTGACAGAAAAAGTAAATTCATTCGAAACACGGATATATGAACGATTGTTCTTTCCAATCAGTCCTTATAGTTATGCTAATAATACAACAAGTGACCAGGTTTGAGGCAAATACATCATTTAAAATTATACCATGTGAATTTGGGATTGTTTGCGAACTTAAATAAGATTGTTAGTGAGCACTGCTGAGGGTCCCATACTAGGACCAGACGACCGTCTAGTGTTTCCAGGTTTATAACGGTGGTCTAACTTAGATCGACCTGTGATTTCAACTGTAAAAATATGAATAGGTTTATATGCCAAATGAGATTCTAAGATTAATGATCAGAATAAATATGGGTAATACAGGAATGTGAGAAATAGCAATATAATTACATATCGAAATAAACATTTGGTCAAGGATTATGTACTAAATAGAATGATGGGAATATATTCACCTAACTTGCTAACTCTTGTCAGTTCATAACAAGTACGTGAACTTATCAAGTATTACACTATTGCAAATGTTTATAGTAATGCTAATAATAAATGTGCGTTGATAAGATCTTATAATGGACATATAAAGAATGAAATATAAAATAAACATAAAGCACAGTTATATATATTTTTATATATAGAGCCATGATAGGATATAGTTTTCAATGTAGATTTTGTTTACAATAATCTATTTAATGAAATAAACAATTCCTTTCAGAATTCTACATACAGCACAATTCATGAATATGATATTTGTATGTAGTATTACCTGTAATAGACTGAGTTAAGAGAAAAAAAAAGAAACAATCATGAATCTTACATATTACACTAATTTCTAACTTTATTCTATTCAGTAAATGTAAACCGTAGAAAGTTAACTTAATGATTTGAAAATTGACAACTCGCTACGAAGCTTGAAGATTTTCTGTTCGTTTGATGGTAGATGAAACAGATGATCGATTTGTTTCCCGCTTTTTAAAATGGTTGTTTAAACATAATCAACCTGTAATGTGAAACGATAAACTATACTGTTTTTGGATTATTCTATAGAACAGAGATGAAACTGTACAAACAAACTGGTAGAAAGATATAGACAAAGTGGAATGTTGTGAACTTGTTGAAATAAATACTAAATACTCATATTTCATTATTATTTTTTAAATATCTTGGTAATATTACCATTTAACAAAAGAAAAAAGTCGAAATATAGACAAGAGAGGGATAGGAATGAAATGTACTAGATGATTTCCCTGGAAATACACTTGATGGGTGTATAATTAAAATCAAATAACACAATTTTAAAGTATATATATGTCGTAACAGATGCAAACGTTTACCATTTTTAACATATAACATTGTCAAATTCATTAATACATGCCTCATTTTGGACTTTGTAAAATATTATAATTATGGACTTATAACTGTAGAGCCTGATGATGAAGTTATTGAAAACAATTGTTCGCTCAAATATTGTTCATTTTTGAATTATCTATGGGGATTTTTAAACTACTAAAATCATTTTGGTTAATATTTGTGACAATCTGAGTCATATACTAGGTATTAGCAATTTGAATAAACAATAAGAAGACGATAAATATGAATCATAAAGGGAACGAAATCTCAATTATTTAGTAGTTTGGGGAAAATAAAGCTCTTCAGGTTCTACAATTATATATCCAAATTAATAATAAATGGCCAGGTTAAAGGCAAAGTACATCGTTTAATGCATGTAAATTTAGGATTGTCAAATCAAATAGAATAAAATTGTTAATGTTGATATGACTCATATAGAATGTTAACTTGAATCAGCTCATATATTTTATGTAATATTTTTAAGATCCATGATTGGAATCAATATGGGTCAAATAGAGTGAAAGAAATAATAGTGTAATTATAATTCGATCAAATGTTTAATGGAAGACTATATTGTGTAAAAAAATTATTAGTAACATGAATGAGAAGTAATTGAACCACATATTGGGGAGATTAATAATGATGTTTAACCAATAATAATAATAATACAAAGATTATCATATTATTATTATATATAGTCCTGGAACTTACGACCTTTCGTAGTCAAATGTAATTGTCTCCCTAATCTTTATTCACAAATCTTTGTATTATTATTATTATTGTTTAAATATCATTATTAACCCCCCTATACATGAATCATTCACTTCGCATTGATCCCTCCTTATTACGTCTCACTAATTTTTCACACATTTAGTCTTCCACTTGATCGACTTGTAATTGCACTATCATATCTCTCTCTTACCCTATCTGACCCATATTTATATTCTGATCACAGATCTTAAATTTTCACTTTACATATATACAGATTCAAGTGTTAACATTCTATGAGTCATATCAACATTAACTATTTGATTTGACATTCCTAAATTTACATGCATTAAACTATGTACTTTGCCTTTAACCTGGCCAATTTTTCGGATTATTAATTTGGATATATAATTGTAGAAGCTGAAGAGAATTTATCGAAAAGAATATTCTTCGTTCAAATATTAGCCTTTTAATTATGATTGGGATTTTTAAACGAATAACTTATTTAAATTACTGTTTGGATTTGTAATTTTTTAAGTGAAATTTTTCTGACGACTTGATCATTTAACTTAATTAAACTACGAGTTACAGATCAACAAAGTCAAAGATTCTACGAAAACGATAATTTTTATGAATTTTAGAGGCAAAAGTATTAGATAATGTAAAACAACTCGTCTTACAATAAAATATTTACCACATTAAACTTTTTATTATAGGCACAAACGATTAGAAGAGCTTGTTAATATGAAAAAGTACACTACTGTGAGGTTTATTTGAAATCATATATATCAGCATTATGAAAACGGGCTGTCATTAATACTGGAAAAAATACATTAACAGTTAACCACTGAAGATCGTTTTTAGAATAGTGTGATTTAAAAAGTCGAACTGATAAAAGTCACAGGGAAACTTTTCTGTTATGCTAATCTGACTACTTAAATATGTTTGTAAGTAAACGTTAAATCTTTTTTGAAGCTTGGCTTCAGTCAGCTGCGAATAGATTACGTTTTCCCAAAGTCCCTAATATTAAAAGGTTATTCTTGCACAGCTCAAGTGTTTACAGTTCTCAACATTTAACTGGATGACATCTCATTTCATAATTTTAGTTACAAATTACTTTTATAAATACAGTTTTTTCCCATCGATGTGTCTAAAACCAAACAATCAACGTGGCAGAATAACATGAATTCATTATATCTCGCGATTTCTCATTAACAGTTTACAACCTAAATATAATAGTCCAAATCATCAAAAATCAGTGTATATACTTTAGATCGTATTATCGAAAAAGCTCCCATCAGTAGAGATTAATGAAAAAAGCATTTTTGCACATATTATTTTTTTGCTATTAAGTTAGGAAAGGTTGGTTCAGGGGAGAGTTCTCTTTTTGGTGAATTCATATTCAAAGCTGTACAATCGCAAATAGTTATACCTAATTTTTAGAATGATAATAATTACAGTAATATTGATAATAAACTGTTAAACATGGTAACAGTGAGGTAGAATAAACAAAGGTATAAAAAAATTTTAATTGGGGAAACTAATAATAGTTTTATAAGCAAAGACGGATAGTAGCTAGCAGTGGAATCCAGAATGCACGTTTCGTCCTATTTAGGGCTCGTCGGCTGGATTTACCTGCATCTCAAAGTTGATGTTCACTCTGGGACTCGAGCCCAGTACCTTTCGCTTCAAACGTCATCGCGTTATCGACTTAGCTACTGAGTACTAATGTCCACCTGCTTGTGCAATGGGGTGAGGTTATATTCACTTGTTTACTTGTATCTCCCCATTATTATTTAGAACTGCAATCGATCAGTCTCTTGTTCGCATATGTGAATCCTGTGCAGACTGCCTCGATATTGAAGAACATATGGAACTCAAAACGACTGTCAACCAGTATAAAGGTCAGAATCTTCAATAAGAACGTCATGAAAATTCTATTGTACGGAGCTGAAATGTGGAGAACTACTACAAACATCGTCAAGAAGGTACAAGTATTTATAAACAGTTGTCTACGCAAAATACTCAACATTCACTGGCTGGATATTATCAGCAACAACCTTTTATGGGAGAGAAAAAACCAGCTTCCATTTGAAGAGGAAATTAAGAAAAGACATTGGGAGTGGATAGGACACACATTGAGGAAATCACCAAACTGCATCAAGAGGTAAGCGCTAATTTGGAATCCTGAAGGGAAGCGGAGAAGAGGAAGGCCAAAGAACACATTACGCCGGGAAATAGAAGCAGTCATGAAAAGGATGAATGGTAACTGAACAGGATTGCCCAGGACAGGGTTTGATGGAAAGATTGCTGGTGGGGGGGCTATGTTCCTCCACGAGGAGTAAGTAATTGCCTTTATGCATACCCGTAAATGACCAAGTGGGTAGTAATTTGTCTATTTCCAGCTTAAAGACAAGTTGAAAGAGACATTTCATATATCTATAAAAAGAAGTTGTGAGAAGTAGTAATCTCAACTTTCCGATACTTAACATTGGATACTACTTATTTAAACTAGAGTCCGTTCAGATGAAAATTCACACTTTATATTACAAGATATCGTGTACCATGCAACTTTTTCAAACGAATTGCATCAAGTATATCTATTTGAAACGAATACTTTCTGATAAAGATCTAGGTTACAGACTAATGTACTACGGTCGAAGATACGTGTTTTACTTACAGCATTGGGAAAAGTATGATATCAAATTGAATGATCAATAGAAGATCTATGTTAATCAATGAATATCATGGACATTCAATAGAAAAGGATGATAAATACTTTGGTATAAATAGTTTTATCATTGTAAGTGATCTCTAACCCAATGAACACATTACCCTACTGAAAATACATTGATTTGAAGACAGAAAAACTGACTAACTAACCAAATAAACAATGTGCACAGCTCTTATTTTCATCATAATTTTCAATTTAACTTATCTTAACGGCATGTATTATAATTGAATATCATTATACAATTTACTCAACATCAACAATGTATAGTTAAATTTAATGCTCAAATTATTTCCAAGGTGAATTTAGGATAGATAAGTAAACGACTAAGATGCAGTAAGCATTTGGATTTCTACATGAAATAAATGAAATTGAAAATGTTAATTAATGTGGAATCATTTTTTTAAAAAAAAGAACACTTTTTCCCATAGAAAAAAAGTCTACAAACCTTTGAATTTCATCATCTGTATTTTCATCTTCTGGATCGTTAGTAGTCACTGGAAATAATAATAACAACAGTCATGAACGATAATAATTAATGTGGGTGTAGATGATAGAGATGTTTTCAACAAGTATAATTTAGCAGGCAATTACTAGTTTGTAAACTCGGTTTGAAGCTCTTTTAGGGGTTCAGGTTAATAATACACCATTTGACTGCCTAAATCGAAGTAGTTGGAATAAATTTCGAACTTCATATATAACGGTAGAAATTTGAATGATTTGAGTACCATGTGACCATTCTCCACTTAGCCAGCTACAAATAACGTAGAACCTGGGGTAAGTGGGTATCAGTTCAAGTTGCTATATTCTTAACACAGTGTTATAAAACTAACAGGATGAAAACTAAAACAATCGAAATAAAAGGCAAAACACTGAATAAGACGAATAAAACCAAAGAAAAAGATGAATGATATAATACTGAAGCTGAAGATTTAGTAGAAAAAAAGAATGAGTAATTGCATTATTAAAAAAGTAGTTCAGAGATGAATAGACTAATTACTATACTTAAAGGTATCAGTTAATTTCTGCTTGTAATGCTCGTAACTTAATGGGAATAACGAGCATTCCGTACAGGATGGATATATACCAAAAAGAGAGTGATCAGTTTCAGCCCATAAAATCAGTAAGAAGATTCAAGCAACCAATATAAATGAATTACACTTCAACCTATTGCACGAGCCAGTGGCTATCTGTGCTCAGTAGCTAAGTGGATAACGCGATGGCGTTTGAAGCGAATGGCACTAGGTTCGAGTGTCGGGGTGGATATCAACTCGGGTGTAGAAACATCCAGCTGATGAGTTCCTTGCTTGCTACTACCCATCTCTATTTGCATATTAACAAAATTGATATATTATGCGGTAAAAAGGTGGCAGGAACAATTGTAAAAAATCTTTTCGAACACAAAGATCACATTCGATTGTTTAGAACTTCAGTCGTGTATCTAAGTAATTGTCCATAAAAAGGGAAATCGAACTGATGGATTCCCATGGAGGAAGCAAGTTAAAGTAGTATATCTTTATTTCTGGCTGTAAGGATGGGACGATTGTGGGATAGTTTGTCGCCTACACACAGAAATGTTTTTTTGTTTTTGTTTTCAAAAAAGCTTGTTATTTTTGTGAGAATGCCGTTTATGAACTCGAGTTTCAAGAACAATGATCTTTTTAGAATGGTTATTGAGTCTAGCTTTGTAACATTGGCGGCCTGTTTAAGCATCTGGGCTACCTGTTCCTGTCATTTAGATATTTCAACAAGTTATCTGATTTCGTTTGTTTTAATACATCATTATGCCTATTAATCGCACAACATATTCAGGTGCGTTTCTGAAAAGTGTAAGACCTTTCGCTGTAAAGGTTACAGAAGGTTTAATCAGAGATATCGTGGTTGCTGGCAATATACAGCGACAAGAATGTACATTATCCAGATGTCGATTGACTGGGCTGCTAAGTTTTGACTGACGATCACTCAATATTCATCGTCAGGAAGGACGAAGAAGTAAGAAACGGAAACTTGTTGAAGTACTTTGTGCTGAGAATTCTATATTGTACCAAAAATATAATATTAAATAAAGCTAATAATAATAATAATCAGCTTTGTTTATATGACTGTTCACAAATTTCAAAGATAATGATTGGCTCTTTTACTGTTTTATTCTTAACCAGACTACACTATAATTTCGTTCTTCATTTAAGGTGAACGTAATTGACGAATTAATACTATTAAGTTTTTCACAGTACTCACAAATGTAAAACAGAATGGTAATACATTTCATATCAATTCTTCCAAAAAGATAACGAGTTATGTGTAGAACTAACAATCCTTACTATCTCAGTTGATGTAATTAGTGGATAAGCTATAAATAAACATTTAAACAGCAAAAACAACGAGGTTCGCAGGATGAAATGAATTCATTTTGTTTCACGGTTACTCATCAGATGAAAACAATTTGAAATTACAATTACTAATATAAATATAATTATTAACAAATGTTTAGCACACATTAATTTGTGAAGTTCAAATAAATGTTCGAAACGTAACCATAATCATAATAATCAGAAGAATAGAGATATGAAGTGTATGAATAAACATTATCAAGAGGTCATGTAAGGGTAATGAATAAATAAGTGATTGGTTAATCACTCAACATGATAAACAAACATGTGAACATCAATTAGATTATGTTGGAGATTAATATCAGAAGACGAAAGAACAATAAAATAATAAAAGCTAGACCACTACGGAAAACCTGGAAGCACTGGACGGCCAACTCGTCCTATTGTGGGACTCCTCAGCAGTGCGCATCCACGATCCCGCCTTACAAGATTCCAAGCCAGGACCTACCAGTCTAGCGCCAGAGCACTCAATCGATGGTGCTGATGTCTAACTTCAACCAACCCACGAAATTGAGCAACCATTCACCAGTGTCATCAGTGAGTTGATACCTCCCAACAGACCTGGTTGAACTCCACTGGTTTTTCATGGTGGTCTAGCTTCAATTGACTCATGATTCCAACTATATAAAATTACTAAAATCTACAAATAAACCCCCTTCTCAAAATAAAATGTTGAGGATGGGGTTGAAAAAAAAAATCAACAAAGGTTATTAGACAAACATCCAATCACCGTGGCAGGGAAAGACTAATCAAACTTCCCTTCTATATACATAGGTCAAATTGGAAACGTTTGATAGCTATCCCCTCTGCAAAAAGGAGTGAGATAGATGTTTCTTGTCAATTGCTTATTTGAATGAATTTATTTTATTCTGCAAACCTTATTGTTCTTGCTCTGCTTAAATTTATCAAGGGATCTGGTTGTATGGAACATAAATAAACAGTTTAGAATTTGGAGACAATAACTTTTATTGTATCAAAGCATAGGGAGTAGTTGTACAAGAGACATTTTGGATACATGAATACGTCACTTTTCTTTAAGCCTCATTTTATCCTCTGAAGAAGTGGCTTACACTGAGTCACGAAACGTCAGAAAAACTCATTTTACTACTCACTGGGATATTACAAATATATAAATTTATTTATAACAATCTACCCAATGCTAAATTTATCCAAAATTATCAAATCAAAACTTGGCAATGATACCTATAAATACCTGAGTTTTGTACTATATTTGATACTCGTCTTCAGTCTTCTAACATGCGACTTGGGGGGGTTCCAGCGTTCGAGAGTTTAAGTTGTATGCAATATAGCAAAAATCCAAGTTCTAGATATAACAACGTGTCACTTTATTACTCAGGAAACCTAATTTTTTTGACTAGTGGTCTTCTCTTTGATTTAAGATTAATCGAAAACTTCAGTCAATAAATCGGTCTCGTGAGTATTATTCTTTTCGTTCATTTTACGATTAAAGAATTATTTATCAAACAATTGAATCATTAACATTCTTTTTCGTCACAATGACAATAGGGACGAAAACTGATTGTGAAAAATGTCAGTTATTACAAGATGAGTGGATATCTATCTGCATCAAATTCATGCTATCAGAGATCTAACTTAATAAAACAATCATGGATAAATCAAAATCTGAACATCACTCACAAACCATTATCGGAAAATCCAATGCAGTTCAGAATAAAACGTATCACAGACGGAAATCTCAACCCGTACAACAATACAGTGGTCGCAAACAGTCATGAAGCCACTGCCAATTCAAATTCAGGTAGAATCTACTGAAAGTTATCCAATTTGAAATTCAGAACCTCCAAATGTAGTTCCACAATACCCAGTCGAATCAACAGCACATAAACCAGACCAATCCCCATAAGCCATGGATCAAGCAGTCTCATTAGAGCCATTGATATCTTCACTTTCAGCCATAAAACACACTTTAGGAGCTTGCATTGTTATGGACCGAATCGTGCGAAAAGTGATGAGTTTAAAGAGGAGATGAAAACGAATATAGTACATTTGATGCTATAAACGATTGAAGATCATTTTACAGGTCATATAATCTCCAAAAGTCAAAGTTGTTTGACGTCCTGGTGATACGTACTATAGGACTGATCCCTAGAAGTACGACCACCGACCCCTCAAATGTCCTAGTAAGATCGAGAGTGGGGAGAGTCCGCTCTCCCTCTCCAAATGCTCTCACATGGCCACGCGAATATATAGCCTCTGCCAGGGAAGTCCTACTCACTGCCTTCTCGTACCATAGGTGTTGTTTACGAAAGTGAGAGGACGAAAAGCGAATGTCCGGCGCTTTAACCGGGTTGGTGGATACGGAAGGTCCACCTAGGGGAGTTGGAAAACCCTCATTCCAAACCAATGATGCATATGGGTTCCAGGGTCCTGAATAGACAAATGGCGTATGAACTTATTGTTGGTCACCGGCTACCATGAGACTGCATCTCCTCACGATGCTCCACTGCCTTGTGGATCAGACCTTCAGGTCAAAGGCTCCGGATGTGGCCCCTAAGAAAACCGCACGTTTCAGTTTGGGCGCCTGGGCAGTATCACAGCCCTCACGCAAATTAAATGAGATTTGTGTGACGCATATATATCTGGTGCTTTCTTGTACCAATATTTATGTGTTTAAATAAATAAATAAATACTCTCCAGACAGTCAAGACTAATTCTTGGTCGTCGTATCAGTTAACAAGTATGCGAGCAGGCAGAAATATAACCAGTAATCATTCTAAGTGTTTGAAGTAAAATTATTACTATTTAGTGAAAATCGTGGTATCGAATTTAGTAATTTCTTTAAATTCCTACCATAGTACCGGGACAATTGTACATTTAAACAAAACTTGACAGTAAACTGGTTTCCCAAAGTTATGTTTTGACAATATAAAATTTTCACAGAATTCAAAATTGGACTGGATAAAATCAATCCATATGTTTATGAAATAATTATGTACTCGCCTAATACATAACCAATACAAGTAATGATTAATTTAACTATATTCTTGTATATGCAGTAAGTTTTTACACTGTCGACATTATTTAAAACAAAGATAATCATTTCAGAACATATCATTTAGGCCAAAATCAAAAGCCAACTACAATAGAGTATATGTATAGTATTAGGTTGTATAAAATTCATAACAGGAGCTTGATGATATAATGCATACGTTGAAACTCATCGAAAAACTATTCATTAACTCTTGATAATCAATAGAGTATCATTTAGATGAAAGGACAACAGATTATTTTTTTAAAATGTCGAAAATCTTGTTTAAGTTTAATTACCGGTTTTTTTAGCATTAGAACCATCGCTAGTAGTGGAGCGGCGTCGTTTTTGTAGGTTCATTCTGTCAGCTTTTATTTTACGCTTTCTTCTTCGATTCGGCTCATCAGATAAGTCCTCATCATTTCCTTCTCCTCCATTATCCTCGTCTTCGTCAGTCTCCTGGAATCCGTCATCTTCGTCATCATCATCGTCTTCTTCATCAGAAGAAGCTGGTCGCCAGTCGCTATCATCTGATTTTTTCTTACCTCCTGAAAACAGAAATATCCATCAAACTAGAATTTGAAAGTCGAGAAGTGAAATTTCAGAGCAACTCAGGTTTTCTTAAAAACTTTTATCACCAATTATTGAGTGTTACAGAACGCTTGTATTTGAGGTTGATTTACAAAAGTGCCTAAAGAGGTTTTTTGAGTATTAAAACCACTGGTATTAAGTAGAAAACTATCTTATTCGACAATAAGAACTTCAAGAAGTCAAATCCATAATTTTTAGGTAGATTTTTATTGAAGAAAAGACGATATGTTTTCCGTTTGTAGACTAATCTAAGGTGGATGCATGGTGTTGTTACTTATGTTACAGACAATAGAAACTACATTAAGTGAATCGAATAATAATAACAGAATTCATTTTTACATCTCCAACTAGATTATTTTTTATAGAATTTCGCTTGGAAGTCCACACATTAAGTGATATGCGATTCTCCATATATGGGATGAGTGGATGTTTTCAAATGTACATACATTATGGTTGAATATCGCATCATATTAAAATTTGGAACAGTGTGTCCAACTCAAATGTCAATTCAAATATAATCTTATTAGTGAGAATATATATTTTTAGGATTTCTATACAACAATGTGTAAATGATATTCATACAAATTTGACATAAGAAAATTTGATTGAGATCATAAAACAATTTAAGTTGGACAACCACTGAAAACCTGGAGCTACTGAACGATCGTTTCGTCTTAGCATGAAACCCCTTAGCAGTGCACAACTACGGCTACGAAACCAGGAATTGAACACAGGACCTTTAGTTTAGCGAGCGAACGCATAAACTCTAGACCACAGAGTCAAGATACAACGGTCTGTAAGATACCCCCTGAAGACAATTGGAGATAGTCGAGGAATACCGTGGATTGGCTGAAGTTAGATTTGTACACCATTGGACCTCGGATCAATATTCTAAATGTTGGGAACTCGTGCCAGACCGAGAGTCCTAGGTTCGACTGGTGGTTGAGAGGTCGTGTATCTGCACTGTCGAGGAGTTCCATATAAAACGAATCTTCCTTTCCAGGTTTTCAATGGTTCTTGAACTTAGATAGGTTCGTGATTTTAATCAAAATTTAAATCTTAAATATCATGAAAATACGCGACTAAGATGTAAGTGTTGTTGGATATGTCAGTTGTAATAAATTAGTACATTTAGATTATTACCTTAAAGTAAAACCAATTTGCCAAGCTTGACCTACAAAATGTGAAAAAATATACAAAGATAACTAAACTATCAGGAGGGGTTTTGTGAAGATTTAGTATTTTCATAGTTGAGAGCGTGAGTCAATTGAAGCTAGACCACCATGGAAAACCTGGAAGCACTGGACGGCTGTTTCGTCTTATTATGGGACTCAGCAGTGCGCATCCCATAATAGGACGAAACAGCCGTTCAGTGCTTCCAGGTTTTCCATGGTGGTCTAGCTTCAATTGACTCACGCTTTCAACCATAACTAAACTAACTAAATAACTCAAATTTTAAGTCAGGTTTATGATTTGAAAGGAGAATTAAATAATTTATATGCAAAGCAGATAAATTGCAGTGAATATCTAACAGAGCAGTAGAATAATTTAAGTAAAAGTAAAGTATCTACTTACAAGTATTGTGAGTAGTTATTATTTTTAGATGTTATTAGAAATACTTACCTGATTATACCATTCAATTAGTCGACTATCAACTATTAATTTACTCTACATAAAGTGTAAGTAACACATGATACATAAAATACTAGGTCGTTTAGTAAGTAGTGAGTAACAAAGTAAAAATATGTCGGTTTATAGAAATAATTTCTGATTTCAGAGAAAGTAAATACTATACCGTTATGTATACATTGACTCAATCTTAATAGGTAACGAATGTGAATACTGATGAACCAAACAGAAGTATTATTAACGCTCAGCAAATAAAGACTGGTTGAAGTTAAACATTAACAGTGTTGGATGCTGGCTCAGTGGTCTATAGGTTAAGCGTTCGCGAGAGAGGCTGAAGGTCCTGGGTTCGAATCCCATGTGTGGGATTCGTGGATGTGCACTGCTGAGGAGTCTCATACTAGGATGAGACTGCCGTCCAGTGCTTCCAGGTTTTTAATGGTGGTCTAACATTGATCAGTTCATGATCTCAATTACGAGAAAGGGATGCCAGATAATCGAGAAAGTGTACATCAATTCAACTAATAAGTCGCATAAATGTAAATGTGCAAATGTTTGCTAATAAACTTTTCCGGAAATTTCAAACATCACAAAACAATATATAACAACTTACGTAGTCTTAGATTAGTTTTATGAACTGATGATCTGTGATAAAAATTAGGAAATAGATAGAAAAGAGGAAATGCATTAAAAATATGTGTACAAAACATAAGTTTTAAAACAACATCGAACAGCGCTTTTTTGCAAATGTAATACAACCCAATTTTTAATGATTAGAAAAAACAATATAACCAGATAAAATTGTCGATGAAAAAAAGTAAAATTACTAAGTGGCTGAACGTAAACGAGAAGCTTTTAATTCATATCGCATTTTATTTGGTGTTTGTCAATAATTTCAGGGAAACTTATGCTATCCAAGGGAAATGTCAATATTTACCTATTTGGGTAGGTTGAGGCTCATGCTAGTTGTGTCGACAGACATAAGTAGTATGTAACACCAATCGGAAGTGGAAAACCTTGCAGCAGAAGGCTATGAAGGTTGACTTGAAGAGGACAAGAACGGAATTGGAAAGGAATTGTGGATCGGAAGGATCATACAGAATGTGAAAGATAAATAATCAGTCAGTCAGTCAGCTACAACGTAGGACCAGGCACATTTATGCATCAGTCCAAGTTGCCATACCTCTTTAGCACATCAAGATGAACACCGGATTCATAGAAGCAATTAATTTAGTGGTGGTAGTATATAAAGAAAGATTGTATAGAAGGATATAGTATAGGAAGAAAAAAAGTTATGAAGCAATTTTAATCTCAAGGTTTAAGGGAAGATAAAGAGTGTATACACCTACGCCATTGTGATCGATTCTGAGCCATGTCACCTAGAGTCTCCAACCATTTATTACGATAGTCACGCGGACCCCAACCAGGTAGTCTGCATCTGCCAACATGGCTCAGGCTAGAAGTTAGTGACTTCAAACACTGATGCCATGTTTTGGTTTGGCCGCCCCTAACTCTCTTCCAACCGTCCCCAATACTAGTCATCATAGCGCGTCGTGGTAATCGGTGTTCAGGCATACGTAACACATGGCCCAACCATCTCAGTCGATGAAGATTCATCACCTCATCAACTGATTTACCATCGTTACCTAATACCCTGCGTCTAACCTCACTATTACTTACTCGGTGATCCCAGCAGATGCGAGCAATATTTCTAAGGCATCTGTGGTCAAATATTAGTAACCTACGAGTATCTTCTACTCTTAATGGCCATGTTTCGCAGCCGTAAAGTAGAACAGAACGAACTGCTGCGCAGTATACTCGTCCCTTAATTGATAGACGGATATCTCGTCTTCGCCATAGGTGACGTAAGTTGGCAAAAGCCAAACGAGCTTTCTGAATCCGTGCTGAGATTTCGTCAGACACCAACCCATTAGGGCTGATCAGACTTCCAAGATAAGTGAAGTTGTCAACGCGTTCGACTACTTCACTCCCTATCCTTAGTTCGAGTGTTGACGCAGGCCAGTCCTGGAGTAACAATTTACATTTGGATGGGGAGAAACGCATCCCAAACATCCTGGCATTATTACTCAGTTCCAACAGAAGACTCTGCATTTTGTCAGCGTCTTCACCAAACAGGACTATGTCATCTGCGTATTCTAAGTCGATAAGTGAATTTCCTGGTAGAAGATCAATTCCTGAAAATTCAGTCGCAGAGAGTGTTATTTCCAGCAACAGGTCTATAATGAAGTTAAACAAAAAGGGGGATAGTGGACAGCCTTGACGGACACCACTTGAGGTTGTAAAATCATATGACAGTTCGCCATAAGCTCTCACTCGACTGATAGTGTTCGAGTAAAGAGCCTTCACAAGGTTTATGTACTTCTCAGGTACACCTTTCAATGACAGACACTGCCACAGAACCTCTCGGTCTACAGAGTCAAATGCTGCTTTCAAGTCAAGAAAAACTATCATTGTCGGACGCCGATAAGCATGTCTGTGCTCTAAAACTTGACGAATGGTGAATATGTGGTCGATACAGCCACGACCAGGTCTGAAGCCAGCCTGATTTTCTCGTGTTTGCAGTTCACGAGTTTTAGTTAGGCGCCTGATAATTATTGAGGCTAGTATTTTAGATACTATGTTAGTCAGACTAATCCCTCTATGGTTATCGCAGGATGATTTTGACCCCTTTTTATATATTGGGACAATCAGTGATTGTGACCAGTCGGATGGGATTACATCCGTCTCCCAGATTTTAGCCAGAATATTAGTCAACCTAATCGCTAAAATTGGACCACCATATTTAAAGACCTCTGGAGCCAATCCATCAGGACCAGCTGCTCTTCCTCGTTTCAGATTACCTATAGCCTTTTGAACTTCAAGTAGGGTCGGGGGGCCTACTTCAATGTTCCATTCAGGTTTTCTAGGAATAGTGGGTAGTTGTGCAGTAGCTGAAGGCCAGCTAAACTGCTCCTTAAAGTGTTCCGCCCATCGTTCCAAACGTTTGGGTAGAGAGCAGATAAGGGTTCCGTCTTTTTCCGAGATCGTCTCACTTACACTTGACTTCTTAATTCCAGTTTCTTTTATTAGTCTGAATAGTTGCCTGGTGTTGCCGACAGCCGCTGCCTTTTCCATCTCTTTTGCTTTCGTTGCCCACCACTGCTCACGATCGTTCCTTAGACTTTTAGTTAACCTAGATCTAATTTGTTTACGCTCTTCGTCATGTTCAGAGCCTGATGGTATGAGTTTACGCGAATCCATCAGTGAAATAGACTTAGAAGAAATCCACTGGTTTTTTGGAGCCCTATGGTTTAAATGACTAATAGATGTTACTGCTGTCTCCACAGCTGTTCGTATGCCTTTCCAAGCAGCATCTGGGTCAGTCTCGTTTACAGAACTGCCTAGATGTGAACTCAGTTGTCTCTGGAATTCACATTTGGCTTTCTCGTCCTCCAGTTCAATCCTAACGGGTCTTCTTAGTTTACTTTTCCTGCGTCCATTGAGGCGCAGACAAATGCGTGCTCGTATTAAAGCGTGATCAGAGTCTAAACAAGTATTCCAATACGAGCGACAATCTTCTATTGAGCCTCTCCAACGATGACTGATGACAATATGGTCTATTTGAGTCCATCGTTGGTTTGGTGCAGGTGGTCGCCATGTTAGACGATGTCTCTCCTTATGTTTAAAATTAGTGCTTGCCAAAAATAAACGATTGTCTGAGCATAGTTGCAACAGACGATCACCATTATCGGTTCGTTGAGCCGGAATACTAAAACACCCACCTAGATGTCTTTCTGTTTGATTTAAGCTGCCTACCTGGGCATTAAAGTCACCCGCTACGACTACTATGTCTGAGCGCTTAGCTTTCTGAAGAAGCTCAGAGAGCTTTCTGTAAAAGTCATCTTTCACCTCATCATGGCTGCAGTCAGTGGGAGCGTAGGCAGAAACGACGAAAAGGCAACGACGTGTGTCCCTATCCTTCCGAGTTCTTACGGAGCCATTTAGCCGGACAGCACACAGGCGACTGTTAACGGGGATCCATTCTAATAGTGCCTGTTCTGCCCTTGTACTTAGTGCTATACCTACACCTGCAAGTCCACGAGAACTAGCCAACGGGTCGCCAGATACACGGAGGGTGTATTTCGTTGGCTGTCCATTTTGGCGAGGTGAGGTCAAGTGAATGACCACACTAGGATCCTGTATGCGTGTTTCGGAGACACAGCATAAATCAATGGTACGCGACTCTAAGGTTTTAGCTAAGGAGGCCTGTTGACCGATTTGACTTAAAGTACGTACGTTGAAGGCTCCAATGTGTAGTTTGGAGCGAGGTTTTAGTAGACCTGGGACAGCGTTTCGCGCACTAGAATCGTTGGCCATGGTGACACTTGAGGAGGAAACCGAGAGAGGAAGTTTAGTGTTGAAAGTCAAGGTAGTAGGAATTGAAGAAGGAGATTGATTATGAATACAGTGGTCTTGAGTGTTGTTAGAGGTATGAGGGCAGTTATCACTTCCCGGTTGCCCACACCGTGGAAGGATTCTTCTAGAGGTACCTGAAAAGGGAATTGGGTTAGAAGTGGTCTTAATGACCGGAGAGCGTGACCGCAGTGCCCAAGGGACAACTGCTTGAGGTCGGTCACACACGACCTTTTTGTGGGTAGTTTTTGTGATAGCTCCGTTCTTCAAAAAAAACCTTACCGCCGGAGACGGATATCCGTGGGATAAGGCGAGGTGTGCATTTTTAGGGTCGACCTTTTCTAACCCCACCCCTCCGTGTGGGAAGGCAGCATCGCTGTCATGCTGGTTGTCTGAAGGAAACACCTTACTGCTTTCACACCTCTGTACAGTCAGCAGTACGACTTCGCCTTCGGACCTTGGGTTTGCTGCTTTTAGTCTCACCGCTCTTCAATCGACCTGTCTGGCATGGTAGGACCTCGAGGAACGATTGTTCCAGCCAGCATAGCTCGATTGGATCATCACGATAGGCAAGCCCGACCACCACGTCAAGGTAGCAGCAACGGTCGGGAAAAAAAAAAAAAAAGATAAATAATGGAAATTTGCAAATGAAGTATTTAGTGCATGGTTCTTATATTTTACTAAGATATCATGTAATTCAGTATTAAGATGGATTGGTTGTCCCCCAAACTAAGTTCTCGTTCATTACAGGTTTCCTCTACCGGTATTTGTGAAATATCTTTGGAAATAACTGAGAAACGTTTTCAATGTCGTTCAGCTTGAAAATCATGGCAAATACACTACCTAATGTACTTGTAAGACATGATCGATAAACAAACCTACCAATGAAAACATTAAATGTTCACTACAATATGGACTTTTTTGATCTTGTATGATTACGCCTAGTTTATTCACTGATCATATTTCATTCATGAGTTAATTGAAGCTAGACTACCATGAAAAACCTGGAAGCATTGGACGGCCGTTTCGTCCTAGTATAACTCATGAATTAAACTATTAAATTACTATAATAGACAAAAAAACCCTCTCTGACTATAGTCTTTTATGTTTTTCATAGATGATATTAGGTCTGTTGACTCATTTTTCCTATCCTGTAGTTGCTGTACGGTATGTTATATGTCACTCTTTTTCCTTGTTTAATAGACTGTATTATTTTTTATATACTAACGGTGTCAGTTCACCTTTTAGAAACAGAGGTTTATCAAGCCAAATAGCTTACATGTTCTGACTTTGGATAGTTCAAGACTCTGTTTGATAGTGTGGAGATTAGTTTATAATCGCGTCTGTAGGAAATTACTTTCTGCAGTACTGAAAAACCTATTTCAATGATCACACACACAATATTCTTTTTCTTGAGATTTGATTACTGAGAAGTAAAGTGGATGGAAAGAGGAAGAAAACTAATGCAAGTGGAATCATACAACTTTGTGTGTTGGTACATGGTGGTCAATAGTAATAATAAGGGGTGTGATTTAAAATATTTGGATCATTGTCAAGTTTTATTTATCATTATTATTTAAACACATAAATATTGGTACAGGGAAGAATCAGATAAATATGCGCCTCACAAATCTCATTTGATTTGTGTGAGGGCTGAGATACTGCCCAGGTGCCCAAACTGAAGCAAGTGGTTTTCTTAGGGGGCCACACCCGGAGCCTTTGACTTAAAAGTCTGATCCACAAGGCAGTGGAGCATCGTAAGGAGATGCAGTCTCATGGTAGCCGGTGACCAACAATAAGTTCATACGCCGTTCGTTCAGTCAGGATCCTGGAGCCCATGTGCACCATTGGTTTAGAATCAGGGTTTTCCAACTCCCCTAGGTGGACTCGTCGTGTCCACCAACCCGGTTAAAGCGCCGGACATTCGCTTTTCATCCTCTCACTTTCGTAAACAACACCTATGGTACGAGAAGGCAGTGAGTAGGACTTCCCTGGCAGAGGCTATATATTCGCGTGGCCATGTGAGAGCATTTCGAGAGGGAGAGCGGACTTTCTCCACTCTCGGCCGTACCATGCATTTGGGGGCATTGTTAAGTTTAGTCATTTGTTGTCATACACCAAATACAGACTCGCGTACGCGGTAATGAGACTTGCTTTACGTCTTCTGGCTAGTGACACTATTCAGCTGCTCAAACCAAATTAGGTGAACCGGAACTCCAACTTGTGACCTGATGGTTGGAATTAGAATACTTCAGACACTCAGCCACTGCTCCACTTCAATCGTGTAAACAATGAATTATAATCAGTACAAACGATAATATTTCAAATTCACTTCAAAGGAAAATATCGAATCGCATGCGCATAAACTTACTTGGATTCTGGAGACTGACTTTCGTCGTCATCATCATCATTTAAAGACTGATTTAATGTAGAAGACAGAGTTACAGTATTCGGTGGACTAGGTGCCCGTCCAACTCTAAAACTACGCCAAGGTACATTACTTTTAGTTTCGTAACATTGTGTAATCCATTTGTCAGAAACAATTATACCTTTACCTTTGACTAAATTGAATTTAGGTGTGTTTGGAAATGCACAGCTATAACGATGCGAAGTGAGGTTGAAGAGAGAAAAGAGATAAATGAAATCAGTAATAGAATAGCATATCTTTCGACTAAAATCATTGTAATACAGATAAGCAAAATCAATCATATGATCATTATTGTCAAAGAATAGTTATAACACTCTAGATAATGTTAGTTTCTTTGAAATGGATGATTTACTTGTGAAGCTTTTATTACCACTTTGAGCAAAATCACACAAACGTCTATTGCAAGATGAGACCATTCTGATTTATCTACAAGTACTAAAACAGACTATTTTGATAATCTTATCTTCGTATATTTCTTCATCTTGATGCATCTTTGAGTTTCTGATTACTGTTTTTTTCGGTTGATGATCTATGACCAAATAATTAACTGGTCTCCTCCAAATGGGTTAATAAATTGAATCAATGTCGATGTGATTTTTAGCTGAGGATTGATCTAAATGGCATGGCTCTAAAGATTCTTTGGTATAAATGGGATTTACTTCACCAAGAATTTCAACATTCTCCCAGTCGAATCTGTATTCATGGCATCCTACACGAGTGAAATAAGTGATGGGATCCCGCATCGTTTCATTGCTAATATATGTTCGTGTATGCATACATGAAAGGGTCATTAACCTCGTCTAATTAAGTGTTTCTCACATTTGGTAAAACCTATCTTATACATGATATTGTATTCACCTTTTATTAGTGTTATGTTTTTGAACCTGCAGAAATTCCAAGAATGTCAAGGAATTTCTAGAAGCATGTCTCTCACGTTAATTTGGAATCAAAAACACACCAATACAAATCCAATTGATCGATTCAGTTACCTATATGAACAAGATGTCCCTTCCTACACAAAAATATATTAGTAGTTATTTCAAGTAGATTAGTTCATACATAAACGTTTTGTATCTACAAGGAATAACGAATCATTTGAATCTGGATAAGTACAGAAATTGGCAAATTTAACTAACCCCATAAAATTACCGATTTGAAAGTTGATAAATTTGATGAAATATTAACCCAGAAAACGATACAGAAAACTTTTTACATTGTAGAAAGTAGGAGAGTATCAATGGAATTACAATCAAGCATACCATTTTTAATCTGTAATCTGCTAAGTGTGAAATATCTCTTTTTGAAATAGAGGTCAAATATACACAAACGTCTCATGATTATCATTAAATATTATTCTTAATCTCCAAAAGTTATCCTAAATCACTTTATATGGTCTTTGGAGAGACTACTGGGAAGTTTATATTTAAATCGGTTAGTTTGACGACGTACGTGGTTAAACAATTATCAGTTAAGGAAAATTAACTGAGTCATTATACAGAGAATTTCTACTTTCGTGTAAGAATCTTCTGATTTTGTCATTAAGCAGAAAATAAAATTTGAAGAAAATTTAACAAGGGTATCTGCATAAATTTATTGAAGTACAAATACTTGATGAATGAAGAACACATACTTGACTTACATCAAGTGTGTACAATCTGGACCCCAATCTTGTCTGTACTTGGCACCAAGTTCCAGGGCTTTGTCTCTGATTTGACTTCTTAAGGGATTTTGATAACCACTCAAAGTCAGAATAACATTTGACAAAGGTTTTTGGAGTAACGAGTGAGATGTTTTTGATTGTTTGTATCCCTCTTTGTTCTTCGATATGCGAGAAGACTGTGGAGAACGTATTATATCTGTGTCGACGGAGGAAGGTCTTGCGTGAGACTGGTGAGAACTGGTACTGGCTTTAGAGGAACTATGATGAGCGACTGGTCGACTCACAAGTAGTGAACTTGACGTATTCGCTATAGAAATAATTAAAAAACTATCAATCAATTTATATATAGATAAGGGCGTTTTGAACAAACATTGATCGTAGTTAGAACAGGAGTATGATCTAGTGCAGCAAACTTCAGGCTAATGAGTTATTCATAGAATAAGCACGGAAGATACATCTAGGGTAGTTAGACGACCTTGATTTCAAGTCATTGGTGCATACAGATCCCAAGATCCTGAAGGAACCAATAACGTATGAACTCATTCATGGTTATCCTATTTCTTTTATTTATTTGAACACATAAACATTGGTACAGGGAAGAACCAGATAAATATGCGCCTCACAAATCTCATTCGATTTGTGTGAGGGCTGTGATACTGCCCAGGTGCCCAAACCGAAACAGGTGGTTTTCTTAGGGGGGCCACACCCGGAGCCTTTGGCCTCAAGGTCTAATCAACAAGGCAGTTGAGCATCGTGAGGAGATGCAGTCTCATGGTAGCCGATGACAAACAATTGGTTCATACGTCATTTGTTCCCTCAGGATCCTGGAACCCATATGCACCATTGGTTTGGAATCAGGGTTTCCAACTCCCCTAGGTGAACTATTCCTGTCCACCAACCCGGTTAAAGCGCCGGACATTCGCTTTTCGTCCTTTCAATTTCGTAACCAACAGTAATGCCACGAGAAGGCAGTGAGTAGGACTTCCCTGGCAGATGCTATATACGCGTGGCCATGTGAGAGCGTTTCGAGAGAGAGCTGACTCTCCACACTCTTGACCATACCATGGACCGCATCTCCTAATGCTGTCCCACTGCCTTGTGCACTAGACCCCTGAATCAAAGGCTTGAGAAGTGGTCCCCTAAGAAAACCACGTGCTTCAGTTTGTGCATCCGGGAAGAACTCCAGCTCCCACACAAATCGAGTGATTCATGTGGCAAATATCTATTCGGTTCCTCCTTGTGCCAAGGTTTATGTGTTTAAATAAATAAAACAAAATTATGGTTAAAATTCGAGGGATAATAGTAAGGGAAATGGAGTGGAGAACCCGGGTAGTATCATAGCACTCACACAATTAAATAAAATGACAATTATTTGTGTGGCGCATATATATCTGGTACCCCCTTGTACCAATATTTATGTGTTTAAATAAATTATATATATATATATATATATATATATATATATATGTATAAATATATATATATATAAACAGAACGTAACGAGAGGTAAAAAAAATCCAGTTTATATGATGAAACTAATTTCCAGATTCAAAGGAAAACAGAAAAACAAATACAAAAAGCGACTAATTATTAGCCATGTTACTTACGTCCTTCAAGCACAGATAATATAGTCATTATCTATAAAATTCCGTCAAACAACAAGTCTGTAATAAAGTCTATGATAAAATGTTTCAATTACATCAAACAGGTTAAACCTAATCTTACGTGCTATGAATCCATATGCAAGATTAAGTCTGATATTCAAATCTTAATGTCACCGAAATGCGTCCCTCAACACAAAGAAACCAGTATCATTCAGTTAGTACGATAAAAACCAACATTTCATCGTGAAATAAAAAGTGTGAATAAACAAATATGTACAACTGTGCGAATTATATTGATTTGTACCTATTATCTGAGAGCTACCAACATTTTCATGTCAATGTAGGAACACGAAGAGTGAATTATATTTGTAATTGTGTTTAAAAATAGATATCTTTGAAAAAGTGGTGCTTAACTATGACAATACTTATCAAATGAATTCACTAAAGGTAATCAAAACTGTTTCAACTTCAACGAAAAACGTTTGGTACAATACTACGTACATTAATCCTACATCACTTTAAAGATACAATTTAGTTCTAGAATCAGGAAATAGATATTTGTCATATCGGAAAATAAAGGATAATTGATATGTACGTTAGCAAACGTGAAATTTACTTGAGTTAATGGTTACTCACTAATAATAGACTATTAAGTTTTGTGTGGCGCATGTGTATCTGGTGCCCCTTTGTACCAATATTTATGTGTTTAAATAAATAAGTAGACTAATAGCATAGGTATATACGGGACTGACTAACTTCCCTAAGTAACATGTCGAAGTATGAAGTTGCTATTAAAACTCATTATCTGAGCTTTATCGTTATATACATTTAAACTCCAGACATTGAATCACTCTCAAAAGAGAAACTGTGAATATTTTCTCAACCCACTGATTTTTTTAATCATGATACTCCCACTATTTCGGTTTCGTATGTGTTATTAAAAACAATAGATTGTCGTAGATTTATACTTAGTAAATTGTTTAGACTCCATTTCTACCACATGCTAAACTAAGAATATAGATTTAACAAAATATAATTTTAACAATAAGGTATATCTAAAAGTTAAAAATGCACATAGCATACGGGAGGGAATAGAAAAATAACATACCGTTCTGAATTAAATTAGCTGAATGCTTCAAAGCATTTAATTTATCTGAAACTACAAACATAATTTCTATATGTATCCTTACTTGAGGACTTGGACTGTGAATTGTCTTTATCACAAGATGTCTGGCGTGAAGCCTGAAAGAGTGAACCTGGTTTGAATTGGGTTGAGTCTGATTCTTCGTCATTCAGTAAGTTGTCAACTTTAATGTTTTTATCCTATGATGTAAATGATAGCATAAAAATAACGCTTACGTCGGCTTCTGGATTCACATTAGCTGGAGTGTGGAAGAAAACGAAAGAAATACCATACTGTAAAGTTTTGTTGAACGGTTGGGAGCAAACAAATTTGACTAGATCCCATTTCTGACAGGCTATAGATTTTATAAACTGATCACCACTAAATACCCGGACACGGTGAAGGTTCGTCCCGTTTTTTGCATCTACTGGAGACATAAATGAAGAGGATGGGAGGAGTACCTAGAATCGGTCTGAACAACAAACTGAGATGTTACCGATGAGTCATCCGATGAAGCAGATCTTCGCACTAGTACTTCAATAAAGGCAGAACCATTATTCCCAATATCTAAACGTGAAATTTCAACAGGTTCGGAAAACTATGAAGCTTTAAGATGATATGAGAAAAAGCAGTTTACACTCAATTCTACAGCTTCTTGCTTGCTTCCACCAATTATACAACACCATTTTGAGAATGACGACCCTTTTAAAAGGTTGGATGCAGGAAAAGCCTGAAAAGGAGAAATACGAATGTTATATGTTGCACTTTTTAGGGAAATCACATAAGGTCTTGAAAGAGTATGAACGTTATGATTTCAGCCTAGATTATGTTGCGAGAGGTCTGTAAACAGTTCGTGAAAAAAAAAGTGAGATAAGGACGGGTAAAACAGAAATTTAGAGAGGAAATAATACACAGACTATAAAGCAATCTTTTTGAATTGTTTCTAACTAGTAATTTGTACTATTCAGTAAGAAATCTTAGTTGAGATTTTTTACTGAAGTAAAGTTTAAAAATATGTTAATTCAGAAACTAGGGATGGTTAGTTTTTCTTACATGATGGTAAGTTAACTGAATCATGTATGTGAAGTGCTAGTTACAAGATATTATAGCAAACGGTGACGACAACCGTGTCTTTTTGTTCGTCTTGGCACATAATGTTTTCTAAAGGAGAACACATGAATGTATGCTCAATAAATGGGTTACATTAACTTTTGAGGATCAAAATCATCCTTTACGCTAGTCGTCATGGAATATGAACACAGGCAGTAGCTGATAATATCTAACACGAGTTTGGATAACTTAATCCCTGAAAAAATTGTTACGTATCACACATTTCCACTACACATAAGAACTTTTATGGTCGAATGATTGCAATTTTCAATTGTTTATGAAATTAGAAATCATATTTTGCAGACATGATTCAGGTCAAACAGTTGAGTAGTAGACTCATGATAAGCAATAGAACATTACGCAGGATGCACTTATTGAAGACTTGAAGCCTGCATTAATAATGTAGTAATTGTTCCATTGCTATATAAGTTCATGTGAATGTATTTCTTTAATTGTTGCTGATGGTATTACTTCAAGTCATTTCCTTACCTTTTATGTACTGTTTAGACGACTAACAAGCAGTACGTAATTATCGACGCATCAAGCGAGAGGCAGGTTCTAATTGCAGCTAAACAGTGGATTGTGTTTTAGGGACTTTGTCTCTATCCTATGGACCTTGTGGATATGCATCTGTAGAACAATGCCCAACCAGATGACAATTGGTCAGTCCTGAAGCACAAGGTCATTCACTATTGTGGTAAGTCTTACTCACTGCCTTCTCGTGGCATTACTGTTGGTTACGAAATTGAAAGGACGAAAAGCGAATGTCCGGCGCTTTAACCGGGTTGGTGGACAGGAATAGTTCACCTAGGGGAGTTGGAAACCCTGATTCCAAACCAATGGTGCATATGGGTTCCAGGATCCTGAGGGAACAAATGACGTATGAACCAATTGTTTGTCATCGGCTACCATGAGACTGCATCTCCTCACGATGCTCAACTGCCTTGTTGATTAGACCTTGAGGCCAAAGGCTCCGGGTGTGGCCCCCCTAAGAAAACCAACTGTTTCGGTTTGGGTAACCGGGCAGTGTGTGGCGCATATATATCTGGTGCCCCTTTGTACCAATATTCGTGTTTAAATAAAATAAAAAGTGTTAAGTTACAAACATAGAAACCAGCATTTCCTATAAATAGTTTACAGCCATGTCACACATGATTGCGGACATTATGCAGCTAATGTCGAAGTCTGATAGCCGTGAACATCCACAGGAATTCGATATCGGACTATCAAGTTTGCAGTTCAGTATGTCATCTGAAGAGGAACAAATAACATTGGACACATCTTCAGCAAGAAGACATAAGGGACAAGTTTGTGAGTCAAGAAAATTTACTGGATTATTTGTTCCTAATCTAGATGGCCATGCTGACGCGATTAATAGATGATAATCCTAAAACGTCCATGCGATATATTTTGTCATACGTCATGAAACCTGAAATTGCTAGCCATTCCACTCTAGATGGCACTTTATCGAAAACACTTCAGAAGTGCAGGTTTTATGGTTGCATACGAAGGATCTTGTTTTTCTAACCTTCAGGTGCATTAATGTCTCAGTTCTTCGTTTTATCCGTAGACGAAAAACAGCATACTGAAGTTTACGACAACGCGACGCAAAGGTATTTTCATGACGAGACAAAATACAAAGGCGTCATTGAACAAAACCAGAACACATACGTACCAACTTAAAGTTATAACTATTCACTGCTGTTCTATAGGTGCAGTGTTCAGTATTAGGGAAAATAACTGTAGGTAATACTTCAGTTGTTTAACAAACTATGGCAGTTAAACGTGCATTGAGAAATTAGACAGCGAAGAAAGCAAACATTCAAGCGCTGTTTCCTATTTTTTAACGGAATATCCCCTTTATTTCCTGTCATTGCACTATGAGTCTTTTTTATTGGTTGTTTGAGGATGTAAAAAACTTCTACCTAAAGGGAAAATGCCAGTTCAACCGCAGAATACTGGTCACAAAGAAACAAGCAAAACATAAAAATTGAGTTGAGGATTTTGGAGAAAGTCGACTTACTTTATCTTCACTTGTAAAACTAACAACTCTACTTGGAACGACCTCAGGCATCACGCAACGTCAAATCTCAAATTTGACTCACCAATGTTCAGTCTTCAATCATCGTGTGTATTCCGATAGTTTAAATAATTATGGATGGAATAGAAGAAGATTTTGCTTAATGGGCATCTGCATCTAGTAGCAGTGAATCATCTATACCTCCAAGTAGGAACCTAAGTATATCAATGATAAAAGAGGAAAAATAAACTAGTACGTAATAATGATATTGTCCTTAGTCCTTGAGAATATATCAAGTTTTCTCCTAAAGGACTCTCGAGAAGTCACTTGGACTAGCTCACCTGGTAGCGAACTTCAACATTTGACCACTCTTAAGGAGTACAAGGTATGTTTGCAATCCGATCTGATGTGTTGTGTCTTTAGCTTCTAGGTTGTAGCTGTAAATAATTCCTCAAAATCAATAGCTCATTAAGTGTTCGACATTGGATGCTGACCACGTTGTTTAAGTGGACTTGTTTAGCTGAAGGCTTTCGGTCATGCATCCGTACCAGATCACGTTTCAACTCGGCGTGGGACACAGCTCCTACGTTCATTAGCCAGCTTATAGTAAAGGTTCCTCGATATATTGGTAACGCATCAAATATATCTTTCCTACCTCTCCTCGTCTGTCTTCCGATTTCTATCTGACTGGGAACGATCGAATATAGAAGGTGCTACTGGTAGGTAGTTGTAAAACTAGAATATCCGTTGCATCCTCAAGGTGTTACTCTTGAGGTTTGTGCTGGGACTATGCTTAAGTAGTTGAGGATGCTATAAGTCATTAGAACGTCACCCCAAAGACGCCTGCATTATAGTGATTAACGTTTTAATGGTTGGAGGTGTTCTTCATATGACATTAATCTGAGTCCCCGAACTGGTTACGTGGCCATTGGATACGTTCCAGAGTGTCCTGATCATTCTTGAAGTGGGGTAGGAAATATTATGTTTCCGTACTCTAAATGGGGGCGAATAAAACTGTTGAAAATTATGTGGAATGTTCTTTTGTCGAAATGGTCATAAATGCTCCTAAGCGTTTTCAGTGAAAGATTTCCTCGAAAGGCATTTCATCTCAGTTATCGTAAGACTTCAGATCGTAGTGTGCCAACAATTCTAGATCTTTTTCAACTTTTGATGCCTTTAGAGGGGAGTTACCCAAGTTGTATTCGTAGCCTGGAACATGTGTGGGGCCAGTGAAATGCCACAGAGCCCTAGCCAAATCATCTGGCAGTTGGGTCGCTGAATATTGAGGAGATAATCGATCCCTGTCGAAGTCAAGGACAACCAACTCGTATCAGTCAATCATATGCCATGGACTCGCCCATGTGGTGGTGGTCCCACTATTTTCTTGGTAGTCATTCTCATTAATATATTTCCACAGTGACGTTCCTTTTTGTTGTACGGTCTTCAACGCATCCATAGAGCCTTGATTCAAGGATGGGGTGATCCATGTTATGTGCTGACCGCGAGGTGCGATTTCAACGTTAGCAGTTGGCCACACCATTTTCGTCTAACTCGAGTAGGCACCTAATCATTCGACAGAGATCATCATTAACAATTATAGCAACCATCCTACAATCAATTTCGATTCTAGTCAATTTTGGTTAAGCCATTTTTATAACTTACTTAACAGACATCGTCATTTGGATAGTAACAATTTGCATATTCTTTGCACTGCTATACCACTAGAGCACATGACACTCTATCCGAAATGTTGACTGCTTAAATATCATTCGATGACTCATACTCCTCCCCATATATGTACGCACGCAAATATTATTATCAGCCTTTGTTTCGGTTTGCTGTGCCCTTATTAAATCTGACTATAAATTGCCTATGTAATTGCTTGCTATTTGCTCGCTTGCTCCTCCTTCGTTTCCTTCGCTGGTTCGCCTGTTCATTGGCTCTCTCGCTTGCCGCTCGCTCGTTGATATTCGCTCAGGTGTTGTTAGCTTTCTGACGTGAGTTATTCGACAATAAACTGTAGTTGCTGCTATCCTTTGTCTTCTGATTTTACGCGCCGTTAAAATTAGAATCATAACGGTTATCGAAGTAAACGATTAACGAATCGCGGCACTACACTATCTACACACGTATCAGATGAACTACTTTACACGTTAAAGTGTCAAAGGTAAGTCCGTTATTATCTGCATAAATCTGCAGTTGAATCCGATCCTGTCAATGTGCCAGTTTATCTTCTTGGCTGTATATTTCTCTCGAGTTTCACATAAACAGCGGAAAGTAATAAATCTGATGATACCTGCAGTGCAAGATGGTTTATATAAATCAGGAAAACAGGTCTTAGTACTAAATTACAGGAGACCTCACTATAACATTCCATTGATTGAGATGTAGATTTTTATAAATGAAGTGAGCTAACCAATTAAGAGTGATTTGATACATAGTCGCCTGAGCTTATTCATAAAACATATATAGTTGACCCTATAAAATGCTTTTTAGAAGTCAAGGCAGATGACACCAACCTTCTCCTTGCGATCAAGGATGGTTATCCATCTGTCCAACTCATCCAGCAGGTTGGCTATACAAGAGTGACCTTCTCTGAAACCGTGCTGTTGGGATGAAAAGAAATTTATGGATAGTAAGTAATTATCTGGACCGTAGCATGTCAGGGACTCCATAATTTTTGAGGGTATTAAGAGAAGTATTACCGACCGGTAGCTCAAAAATTAATAAAACGGATTTTTTCCTATTTATATACACATGTAATTGGATATATGCTGAATGTAATAAAAGTAAATTAGGTTTGAAATAGCACTGGGTTTCGGAATGTTTACTGCCTCGTATAAATTACAGCTCATGACAAAACGATCTAAAATCGTTCATGTGGATCAACTTTATAGGACGAATAATTTGGCGGGAGGAAAATTAAGCTCAGATTTACTGGTGACAATTATTATGTGACGTTTGCATTATTAGTCGCAATTACTGAAACCTGTTTGCTTTTACTTCTTTGGTCATCGACGCTTTTTATATTTTACGCTTGGTCTTACACTTAACTATGTCGGAAAAATAGGAAGTTTTGCGATGTTCGGCCCTATTTATTTATTTAAACACATAAATATTGGTACAAAAAGCACCAGATAAATATGCACCTCACAAATCTCATTTGATTTGTGTGAGGGCTGAAATACTGCCCAGGTGCCCAGACTGAAGCAAGTGGTTTTCTTAGAGGGGCCGCACCCCGAACCTTTGACCTAAAAAACTGATCCACAAGGCAGTTGAGCATCGTGAGGAGATGGAGTCTCATGGTAGCCGATGACTAACAATTGGTTCATACGTCATTTGTTCCCTCAGGATCCTGGAACCCATATGCACCATTGGTTTGGAATCAGGGTTTCCAACTCCCCTAGGTGAACTATTCCTGTCCACCAACCCGGTTAAAGCGCCGGACATTCGCTTTTCGTCCTTTCAATTTCGTAACCAACAGTAATGCCACGAGAAGGCAGTGGGTAGGACTTCCCTGGCAGAGGTTATATATTCGCGTGGCCATGTGAGAGCATTTGGAGAGGGAGAGCGGACTCTCCCCACTCTCGGCCGTACCAGGGCATTTGAGGGCCCTGTGTTCCGCCTTAAATGTGATCACTTCTAGTCCTATATTTCTGCCAGGAATAGGGGCCATCTAGGGAGATTCATGACATGGGTTCAGATAGGTTTTATATATTTTGCTTAAGAAAATTATGCCGACAATATACATTCCCGCTGAATTATCCTTATTTCTTCAATAATACTAAATGACCAAGTGGTCAATTTTTTAAGATTAGGGGTTTGTAACATTTACCAAACATTACTTAGTTCACTAAAACTCACCAAGAGTTCTTATTAGCACCTCTGTTATTTAAAACATATCAAATCATTTTACCCCGACTGATTGTGACGAATTAACTCTATTCAAGTTTTCTGAGCATGAATTCACGATTGTAGATCTTATATGAAGTTTATTCAATTATCCGCCATGTCTTTTGTACTACAAAAGAAACGGTTTGGTATTGCTGTTTCAAACGACTGTTTGGTTTCTCTGAACATGGTGGTTAGATATATGAATAAATATGTATGGACGGTGCACTAATTAGGAACCATATAATCCAAACTGTTTAGTTTCAGAATCCTGTCATCATAATTGCTGCAAGCTTACTGTTTAGCCTCGTGATTTCGTTGGTTGGTAAGTGACTACGTCAAAACAACTCAACACACTTTTGTTCTACAATAAATTGCGTCACTCTTTTTACTTAGTGTTTTAATCATCTACTGTGATATCCTCAGACTTTGTTAATTAACAAGTAGAATATCCGCTATTTTTATTACACTTTGGCTTCCTCATGAAGTATACATTCATCGAGCAGTAACTAACGTTCAACTAAGTGGAATGTGTTCAAAATCTTCGTCTGGATTGACTTCGGAGTAAACGAAACATTAGAGATCTCTTATATGTCATTGATGCTCTCAACTAAGTTTATTCTCTGAGTTTCCACACAAAATGTGACTTTCTTAAGACGTCGATTGTGTGTAGTTCCGTTTGCTATCTACTTCGCTCCTAATTATAACGGTGTAGTTGCATTCATCTTCCCTCATTTAGTGTCATCCCATAATCTTAATTTTTCAATCTCATTCTCTTTAAAGCACTTTCTACGTTTGACTTCCCATAGTAATGAATACTGTTACTTCGCTTTCTATACTTCATGTTTTGTTAGTTCCTCTTGCTTTGCTACTGTGACGTGTGGCAGCTTGAGTCAGTACAAATTCGGTCCCAATTTACTAAATGATTGGTTGACTGAATCAGTCGAAGTACTAACATAGCGAATTTCCGATCGGAAATTCTCAATAACACTAACAACACTTGCCAAAGCACTTCGGAAGTAGTTCGGTCGGTTTACTCAGGCAAAAGCATTGGACATAAAGGCTGATGAATACTAGGTTTATTTTTAGATTTATGTTGCTTCTAAAAAAATTGCTCATTATTTCGTCGAAAAAGTATGTGACGTTAGATTTAGTTTGTCCTGTACATTTGTTTATATCCCTTTTCTGACATGTAAGTAATCTGTTTCGGGGCACTACATTTGTGTTTTTAGACACATTACAAGTCAGCATTACCGACCACAGTTCTGAAAGTGTCCTCAAAATAAAATTTGCACTATTGCTTTGAATTCTCTTTATTATTCTTGTCAACTTAGTCTTATTATTCTACTATGGTGTGGGAACTTGTTCAATGTACATTAATCCTTTGTTCTATGTTGTTTATCGTCGAATGACTGACGTTGCGTCACAGCATTTTGAATTAAACTGGCCATTCACAAATTCAATTTATTTTAATACAGCAACATCTTTCGGTCCCAGTGCTTAAAAAAATGTTATAACCTTTGGAAAACCATGGTAAAAAGCCAAAAATCGTACGAAATTTCCAATGCTCTCTCGCTCATCCAGAGTAACCGGTTCAGAAATCGTTTTCCTCTGATAAGTTTTACTGATATTCCCTATTTTAGGCTTTTTATTTTTATAACTTCAGATTACTTTGTGTAATGTAACCTTTGGAGCTTTAGATGTTTCCAAATCAGTTGTTAAATAAACAGATTACTATCATCCGCTGATTTTTTTTCAATTCCGGTCCATTCTTAAGACAACTTTTCCTTAATTTATTATATTGAATTTTCGATTGTAAAGTATTCGTCCACATGTTTTTCAGATACATATCTTGGATAGATGTTTGTGTTCCAGTTCCACTCTGGTTACTAACTGTCAACTATTAGAAAGCGCCTTCAAGACGATTGCTTATAATGAACTGCAGGATCGTTGAGGGAATAATTTGTACTGCGATTGACTCCGAAGTGAACTGTCCGTGCGATGAGTGCAAAAAGAGACATTTTTGTAATGGAATTTCCTTCTTCTTCCTGAAAGATAAATTTTGGGTTGAAACTGTTTCTGAAGAAGAGTTATTTCAAAGATTAAAGGTTCACTTATTCTGTTCCGTACATTTTCAAAATAAAGACTCTTAATCCACAGTTTGAATTTCAGCGTGATACCCTCCACCACACTATTCGTGATTGTTTTAATTTTGGAGAAGTGGTAGCTGATATCCAGGTTTGCACAGACATATGTAGTGTTTCTTTTCAGTACGCCGTTGGAGAATCTGTAATAACTTGGACTAGTGATGCTGTTGTTCCTGTCTCTTCTGTGGTACCTGATTACATTATAAAATGATTTATTTTTAGTTGCATTATCATGTTATTTTGCCACTTTCATTTGCACTAGAATCACTTTGTAAAAAGCAAGATTTACTCAATAACAAGTTGTTGGCTTTAAATCATCATGCAAATCGGCTTCATGAAAAACTAATGCTTCCAAGTAACAATGATAATTTAAATGTCAAATTAAACTAGTGGGTGAAGACTTGAAAAAGGAAGACGTGGATCTGGTTAGTTGTTAAAAAGTCCTCACAATTTTTTCTCCGAAATCTTCAGGTATCAGTCGCATTCAGGGCACACGCCTGATATTTCAACATATCAAAGCTAGTCAACAGTAGACAGCACCAGTAATTATGGTCACTAACAGAACCGTAACTGGTTCTTTTGGATTTCGAATCTCCGTTCAAAAACTTTTTTACTAGTGTTGTTAATTTTTTCCCGATTTGCATCCATATAAATCGGAATTAATTTGAAAAATATAGTGGGAATACATGGTGCTACTGTTGACACTAATCAAATCTTTACTATTTTATATCTCAGGTTCGTATTCTAGGGTATTCTATTGAAGTTTGTTTGTGTAGTGTCGGAAATATACTTGACAGTTTTCTATAAGTCATCGTATAATGTGCGTGTTAAGGTTATCCTAAAGTGTTATGAAGTCGTGCAACACGATCATTGACTAGTTCAGACCTTTCTAGCTACTTGGGACACATCAAGAATCTAAAATATTCTACCGAATGTATAATATACTTTTTAATTATAAAGCAGTGCAGTTTATATAAAAAGTCAATTAATTTCTGAGTTATGTTTCTTAAATTTCAGGACCAATGGTTCTTCTGGAGTCTCGAAACTAATCACTAAGACAATTTACTTGATTTTTGAGAACTAGTTTTAGAAATATGATGGGATAATGTCATCGCCCGGTCATTGTTTTCATTAATTTGTTTCTAATTTCTCATTTTTGCTTGTATCATTAAATGTGTAACGTGAATTTAGTACCTAGTTATTTATTCATGTCGATCTTATAAAAGTCCTATAAGTATTTCTTTAATAAATTGTTTATGGTTCGATTTGAACTCATTCCATCCACCTCACCTGATGGTTCAAATCTTCAGACGATCTTTTATTATCTTGAGATTGACAGCACTTTTTACTCACTGTAGATCAATAATTATAGGTGTCTTTTTAAAGGCATTGATTAACCCCATACAACATTTCACATAAAAGCTCTGGAGAAATTAATTTTTAACTTTATAAAGAATTACTTACGCCTGTTAGTTATATTTTCTGGTTAGCGTTTTTTTAGCGAGTTTGTTTTCTACGGGATTAGGTCGCTAACCCCATGCCCAACCCTCCTCCTTTACCAGGGTTTGCGACCAGCAGTAGCCCCCAGAGGAGCTACAGGCGGAGTTAGTTATATTGAGTCAATCTACTCAAGATGTAGTCATACCATCAAAAGATGATCGAAATTCAATCCTAAATGTCAACAGTGGGATAATTCAAAGTCTTACTACTAATCACTAGCAAATACTTTATAAATCTTAAAAATGAATAACGGTTTCTATTTTTCTTCCGTTTGAAATACCATTTCTACCTGTTTGATATATTTTTTATTAGGTCATTCTAAAACATGGTATTTTGTCTGCCATAAATAAATTCACCCGATGAATATCCTATTATTTCACAATCTTAGTATAGTAATTCTCTTTATTTTTTGAAGTCTAATTAATTCTAACGTTTCACACTGTTGTTTTAAATTCGCGGTTTTGCATATTTTTTTTGTTTTTTTTCAGGATTTTAGTTATTCATATAACTTTTCAAAAGGCTTACTTTCTTCGTCCTCTACTCAACATCTTTTTTGTGAGGCATCTAAACATTTATTCACTTCTAAAAGTATGCTTCGATACTATTGATTAGTAAATTTAGTCGAAAATATGTGTACTTCACCGGTACAACAGAAACAGCCTACACGTGAAATAATATCAAGTAATTCAAACTCTGAAGATGTTCAGGTAATTTTTATTAAATAATGCGTCGACTATCTTCTGTTACCATAGCCTTCATTAGATAAGGTCTTAAATGTGAAAATGTTCTTCAATCCATATCGATTAAATCATCTTTGAATTCAATAGTAATTTCTACTCCCAACTACTCTGTCTCATGTCTCATTCTCACCATTGTATTGAGATCTCTTTCCAATCTAAAAACATATATTCCTTTTTTTACTCTTCTGGTATGAATAAATTTTTTTTGCTACTACTATTCAAAAATTTATTTAGTAATTGAGTACTTCATTGACAAGTGAGTATTCAGCAAACTATTAATCGAATTAGTAGTAATAATAGTGTAGTGAACAGAACACTGGTGGGGACAATCGAATGTATTTAAGCAAAAATTACAAACTATCTCACTAAATTCTGATAACCATACAATGAACAGTTAATTTTCAAAATAACTATCAATTGTCTCAATCTTCATCGCGCCTTCTGTAAATATCAATCCATCTTCTCTAATTTCATTGTTTATGCATTTTCCTACCAATTGCGCTTCATTTCAGTTCTTTCCTTATCGGTCTTCTGCCAAAATACATTCTATGTCTGACTATATGAGTGTTCGATTAACATGATAGAATATTTGTTTACAGAAAATAATTTGTCAAAATAAAGCCAGAAAAATGATTTTCGCTGTAATTAAAACGCTAAATAGAAAGCTGACTGTAAAAATATTTGAGTTCCCGTGCATTCGAATTTTCACTTTTTCTGGATTGCCATAAGGCATAACGTTGTGGAGAAGCCACTGTGACCCACTCGCAAATTCCGTATCTTGAATACTGATCTTATAAAAAAGTATTGATCTCGGAAGTTTAGATTAAGTGTTGAGTAGTCGTAGTTCATATCCATTATTTCCGGAAAACTCAACCTATATCAGCCGAAAAATTGGTCTTTTAGTAATCTTTATCCAAAATTTTGAAACCGTGCAAGTATCATTGATATAAGTGCTAGAAAACTCGGATTATGAGTAGCTGATTTTCAAGAACACTAGCATTCCGGATCATAAATACAATTTCTGCCCTTTTTGTTTTCTCAACATTTGGAGTTGAGTCAAGATCCATTAGGGGAGCATTTTGCGTCTCATCAATTACTATGTTGATATTTTGATTTGCATAGCTAGAAATAAGTTATAATATTAACGAACTAACATCATGGATGAACTGCTCAACTGATTGATCAAATTACTGGAATATACGAGATGTCTGTAGTAACTGTTTCTAAATAGATTTCAGTAAATAGAACTTCTAACCAACCAAGTGAATATATATTAGGAAATTACAGTTATTGTTTCTGTTCAAGTGATTCACTCAAGATTACATAATTGAGTTAATAAGTTGTCACAATTAACCAATCATTGTATACACATACTTCCCTTTATTGACTTGAAGAGAACAGTAACAGAATAAAATGAATTCATTTTATTTCTTCAAGTTCTCATCAGCTGCTTACGACCTGTAATATTTCAAATAAAATTTAACATATTTATAGATATCAAACCGATTTAAATTCAGTGCGAAAGCATATCAGTATGATGTTATTTCTAAAATAAAGTTCTAAACTTGTTTTATACTTTTATTTAATTGTCTTTCAGGAAACAGAAGAGAAACGAAGAAATGAATTACAAAAAAAGTTAGCAAATAAACTGGGGAAGTTCAAAAGTAAAAAATTAGAAAGACGTGGAATACTTCGGAAGTGATAAAAAAAAATTTGTTTTTTATTAATCATAAAAACTCTAACTTGCCTTTTTTCTCCTGGTTGCTTATTAATAGCAGAAGTTGAGATATCGGGTATTCATTGTTGGGTAATTGTCTTTCGGAATTCAGTAAGTTACAGAAGTAGTTTGAGTGTTAGCACCATTTTGCACTCACTTATGCACAACTTACTTCGGTAAGATTCTGTTTCTAACAATATTTTGATAATCGTTCTAAATCATAGGGAATGGTACTCCAAGTCGGATGTAACACAGAAAGCGTATTACTTACTTTACTTATGCCTGCTACTGCTCGTAAGCATAAACTGCCGACCAGAAATCTCCAACCAACTCTGTCCTTCCCAAGTGCCATTCATTCTTTTAATATCTGCCTCCGATCCCTGGCACGATGTGTTCTTTGGTCTTCCTCTTTTCCTTTTTCCGTTAGGGCTTGCCTTATGATGCAATTTAACCATTTCCGTAAAGTGTAACTTATCCACTTCCAGCATATTTATGAGTGAATTGATTCTTGTGACGTTCGATGTACTTTTTATTATGTAAAGCTGTCCACTAAGAGTATAAGATACTCGTAAATTATTAGTATTTGATCACAGATGTCCTAGAAATATTGCCAACATCTGAGACCACTGGGTAAGTAATAGTGGGGTTAGACGCATGCTATTGGGGAATGATGGTAAATCAGTTGATGAGGTTGTGAATCTTCATCAAGCTGGTTGGGTCAAGTTTTACGCATACCTGAGCACCGATTACCACGGCGCGCAATGCTGACTAGTGTTGGAGACTATTAGAAGAGAGTTAGGGTCAGCCGAACCAAAACGTGGCATCAGTCCATACAGTCACTAACTTCTGGTCCGGTAGATGCAAACAATCGCAACCAATAGTTGGAGACTCTGGGTGACAATGGCATAAGTGCATACACTCTTTATCTTCCCTTAAACCGTGAGATTAAAATTGCTCTATACGTTTATTTCTACGAACTAATTCTTTCTTCCTGTATTATATCCTTATATGGAATCTTTCTTTTATATATTGCTACCATTGAAGTAACTACTTCTATGAATTTGGTGTTTATCTTGTTGTGCTAATGAGGTGTGTCAACTTGAACCAAAGCATATGTGTCTGATACGTTGTAACTGACTAACTGAAATATTTACTAAGATAAGCATACGAATACATGTACTTTAATACGATGAGTTTTTGCAGAATAACTACAGTCTTCTCAATGTATATTGTTGTTCGTATTCTAAAACCAAGAAACAGTTATGTGTATAAATCATAAATACTTTTAACTGCCTCAAATTTTGTAACTGTGGCAAAGCTAATTTACTAACAGTTCCAGATAATAAGATTATCTATGAGAACTATAACATGCAAATATTTTCACTGGTATTTGTCGAAATGATCAGGGATTCACCATGGAATTTACGACGGAAAGTCGACAGAGAGGTGATTTTCACAAATACGAACTTTTTGATCAATGTTACTGACTTATCCGTTCACACCAGTAAGAACTGAGATTTACATCCAGGAATTTGAGATCTATTCTCCAAAATAGTGGCGAAAAATATTAAGTTAGTGGACTGCAGCGTGATCATGATAAGTAAAACTAGTCTTAGTGACAGATCCTCACGATAATTACGATGAATTAGTATGGGCGATACAGCACATTATGGTTATTTTTTGATCAGTAGAAAAACTAATATAAACAGTCTCACTAGTCTTAAGAAAACTACATAATACTCTCCAACCCTATTTTCGGATCATCCCGTGGTGTATAGTAACCGAAATCATTGATACAATGAGACTTAGAGAACAGCTTAAGGTGGTTAACTGAAATGAGGCTTATGATATATTGTCCATACAAAGTTTCATACTACCCATGTATGATTGATTAACTTATATCGCAAAATAAATTTTGATACAGACAAACTTTTATCAATTGAAAATAATTAAGTTCTACAGAATTTTCAGTCAGTTCAACAACGCGTGTCAATTTTCACGTGATGAAAGAGCTCTTAAATTTTCGGTTTAAAGCATAAGGTGGCAGAACCATGTACACAGAAGGTACTGACTCATTATATCTGGAACCACTTGAAGACAATCAAGATTGTTTCCTACTGGTTATCATCGGTCAAAAACATCAAAACTTCCGTTTACAAATAAATATACTATAAACGTTACGCTTCAATCTATATAAGCGGAAATACTTGTTGTTGTCATTGTTTCTTAAACAATTCGATCGGTATTAGCGCTTGAAAAGTGTTTATACAATTAAAGTGATCAAAATAGTTTTGCTTGAATGTTGCCATATTTCACCATATATTTTTTATTTATGTACATTTAAAAAAGTAACTTGATCATCATAATTATGCATATTGAATAAACCTGTTTTGTTTTACAAGGAGATTACGTTTTTATATTACACTGAACTATACAAAAAATAGTCGATGATAAAGTAAAAATCAAGTATGATGGAAACATCAAGAAGTTGAAAATACAAAATTATACATTAAGTATGTAGAATCACATTAAAAATTTACTTTTTTTTCAAATGACAGTAACTGACAAATTTACAAAAAAAACTAATTTTAGAAAGACTAATTGTATGGTAGAGGCCAAAAACGTGGATATCTGTGCAATAAGGAATCGACCCTTCAGTGGATAGTTTTAAATCACAATGATACATTATCTTGTCTCCGGTGAATATGTTTCATTTAAATTAGGATTCATACTAAACTGTTCTAGAAAGGCTTGTTTAACAGACATCACATGCCGTGCAAGACGTACAGCATCGTTCCAGCGTAAACCAACTAGTCTATGCAGAACTGGTAAAGTTAATAACATAAATGCTTGCCCATCTACAGCTTCCGCTGCAAGCCATGGCCACATTTCTCGACAATCAGTACTGCCAAGATATGAAGCTAAGTCAACAGGTGTCCAAAACATAGGATTGCTTGGTAAAATTACCCTTGGAATATTGCAGAGCCACGAGTCAATATCTCTTTCCATTAGTGAAATATGATTTGGAGGTAGTTGTGCGGTAACTAGACTGTTACTGTGTGAAGAATTTGGAATGCTGGGTATGGTTAAACAGTAACTTGATGGGGTGGCTGATAAATGGTTCAGATTCCATGAATGTTGCCAGTTAGGAACAGGAGGGATGTGTACATTCTTCGGGGTATCAAATGCAACAGTACGTGGGGGATGGCTGTGTGATTCACGAATAGGTGATGTCTGATGGTTTACCGTAATTGTATCCGAACTAATAATACGCTTTTTGCCTGCTGGATTGACAAAGTTAGAGCGGACAGACCTTTTAGATGCATTACGCCCATTGTTAATGTTTTTAAAACCATTAGAGATATTTTCAGTACCATGTTTCATGGAGTTTCGTGAGTAGTTTTGACGCTTTCGTTTGGCTCTGTTCACATGGTTATCGTTCTTTGAATTAGGAACTTTGCAACTACTTGACTGAAAAAGGGATTGTGATTCAAGCCTATTAACCCAATTTGAATTATTTTGTAGTGCTGATGTAGGTCGAGTGACATGACTGTTGGGAGCATCCGAAATAATGCGATTCTGATCACTATCAGTGTAAAAAGAGTCAGTAAATGCACGTAAGGCATTTAAACGCCTTTTCCATCCTGGAAGACGATCAAAGTAACGCGAACGTAAACGGACGTTACAGAAAGACGGACAGTCGTTAATCAAAGAGATATTTTCAATAGGGATTTGAGCTACACTTAGGTTAGGGATTATTCCATTTGATTCCTGTAAAAATAGACGATCATTATCTAATCCATTGACACATGGTGATATTACTGAATTTGATTCCTCTAGTGATGGAGGTGGAACAAGACTGAGGAGATGTGGACATGCTTCAAAAACTAGAGAGATCTATGAAATGATTAAAAGAAGACAAGGTAATTAGGAAATGTATAAAATTGACTGCAATCAAAAGTGTAATGAAATATAGTTTCTTAGTACAACCATTTTTGACATGATTGTTTGCGTACTTCACACTTACTTTTGAAGGAATGTATACTAACTATACTTAATATTTTGGAACACTAAAAACATTGACAACTTCATTTCTTTGACTAATCTATGCACAACATAATGAATGACGTGTAATCAGAGATTGGAAAAGAATAGTCCAGTGCTCGCATAGGAACGTTTTCTCGCCCTGAACATCAAATAAAAATACATGACTAGTTAGATGCATGAGGTGGCGGGAGGGTAGTTTGAGTCATATAACCGAGAAATGTTACATTCGAGCATGTCTAACAGGGATTGTTAAATACACTTTTTTATATCGTTTCAGTTTTAAGCAGTTTTGAAGTGGTGCAAAATCCACTTCCCTTGGATTGAATCACAGATACAATTTTCATAGTTAACTTTACGAAACTGACTTTTTAAAAACAACAGAAGCCAAGTCGTCGTGTATATGATGAAGAGAAGGTAGGTAGACTGGGTAACTAACAGCATCACTACAAATTTTCATACAAAACATTGCTTTTGATAAATGTAGCTCTTCAGCTTGTTTTACTGGTACTACTGTTGAATAGGTTGATCTATCTACTCAATGTATAGAAATTTGTGCTAATAACAGCTTTCTGATAGTTATTTCAGGACTAAGAAAATGTTAAGAACAATTAAGGATCATTACAAAGCAAATAATACTAAGCGATTTAAACAATATCGAAATATAGTATAACAAATTAATGGTGAAAATACTTGGATCTCCTCAACTGTGTTTTAATGCGATCCAATTGTCATGAACAAAAGTCAACATAAAGTAATCTCAAGAGATGTGATTTATTTACCAAGCACATGTTTGTTTGTGTACTCTGCTTCAAGGCACATTGTTGGTGTGATTGCTAAATGATACTCCCCGGTAGCTCAGAACAAACTAGATGGGGTTGGTAATTCATTTTTGTATTTTTTTTGTTTGAATCTCATTGATATTTAGATTGGCAGTTGATCAGTTTCTTATTGGTCTATGTGCATCCTGTGCGGATTGACTCGATATTGCCTTATAAGCAAGAATGGATGGTGGCTGGCGGTGAACTTAAGGCAATATCGAGTCAATCCATATATGCCAATAAGAGACTGATCGATTGCAGTCCTAAACATCAATGAGAAGATTCAGACAAGCAATACAAAAATGAATTAAAACCTCACCCAATTTTCACAAGCTAGTGGATAACTGGACTCAGTAGCCAAGTGGTCACGCGATGGCGTTTGAAGCGAACGATACTAAACTCGAGTCCCGAGGTGAACATCAACTCTAGGATGCAGGTACATCTAGTTGATGAGTCTCAAATAGGACGAGACAAGAGTCTTGGATTTCAACTGCTAGCCACCATTCATCTTTGTTTATAGGTGGAGCTGGGTTTGAATGTGCAAATTACTAGTTTATGTCTGAATATTCTAACCATGAAACAAATCCATTAAAATAGAAATTTGATCAATGATAAACACTGAGAAAATCAAACATATATAACTAAAGTTTACTAAATTAGGAAATCTGTAGTAAGTTTATGGTGTTTCAAGAGAGAAAAAATTATGACCTACATAAAAAAAACTAGATGATGACATAATTTAACCAGATCTTCCTATTTTTGTTCTGCTGGTCAAATATTACTATATATGAGTAGCAAATGTTGTCAAAAGCCTAGTAAACAACTATGCAGAGAATATGGTTAGGACAACTAATCCATACCTCTGGACGTATTCTATCAAGCTATCTTAGCAAATTAAAAAGTTTATTGGTATATGACCTACAATGGTACTTAATTTTATTTCATTTGACAATGTTGAATAATTTTTGAGTTTTTTCGTCTGATAACACCTAAGAAATGATCTCTATCGAACACACAGTCAACACAATCAAGTAAGTATAGTTGGGGCAGAAAAGAAATTTGTGTTCCGTAA